AATATCTCGAGAACAAAACATTCTTTTTAGCTGAAATTTTCAGGGTATTCTAGTCACCAATAGACCTCTCTATGGGCAAAATCTCAGGTCGAAATAACGTCATTCGATGTACTTATATATACCGTATCATAGGCTAAAATTTCAGTAAAATGCCTGTAACACTGGACAGAAGGCCTATGGGCACTTATCCTTTTGGGGTTTTTCATACCTCATGGGGACCTACCTTTCGGACGGAGTCCGAACTCCAAAGCTTTCCTTCAGTTGGGGATGTTCCCTCGTTAGCTGATACAATTTTGCATAATCTAATAGCACATTTATTTTCAGTTATATTATCACCAATAAATGTTATTCAGTCATGGAATAGCATAAAAAATGACCTTCAACTTTTCGTAGATTTTAGTATATTTTCGTCGAGTCAAATTGAACAAATTCACAGCGTTAGTATACAAGAAAAATTTCAATTATGGTTTAAAAAACATTTCAACACTCTTCAATTGAATTATATTCCCTCGACTAGTTGGCCATTACAAATGGCTATTGCTTTTTCGTCACTAGAATATTTTGATACATTTGCATCAAAGAGTCGTGATTGGAACATCGGACTCTTTGCACAATTTGAGACAACTAGCGATGGAAAAGCAATCAGTGATAGACAAACAAGAGATTTAATAGCCGACAACAAGCGTCGACAAACTCTTAGTCAATACGCTATTCAGGAAGTAATGGCTATAAATCAAATAGCTGCACTCCTTCAAAATAGCTGGACTCAAGCGAATGCTGAAAATTATTTGAAGGAATGTTATAGTAATTCTTAGGTAAATACTGATTTTTATTTCAACACGTATAATAACTTAATTTTCTTCTTATTTAGTCATTTCAAAAAATTCAAACGTTCGTCAATCTACCAATTCACGAATTAAATAAAACTTCTCCAGATGTCGTACTATATTGTATATTAAATTTTCTTTTTCTTATGCATAAATGTTAATTTTTGAATAAATGTAAAAAATAATTGAATTATATATCTTTACTGTATATTTGTAATTCGTATTTTATGTCAAATAAAATTTAAAAAAGAATTTTTTCGATTAAATTAATCTTTCAATCAAAACTTTTTACAATAAAATAATATAGATATTTTTACGTATTTCATAATCTTAGTATACGTCCGTTAATCAAAGTGTCAACCTAACGTTCTGTATACGAATAAAATATATGTTCTTTGGCTTGATTTATCTATCAATGTTTTAATTTAATGGTGACATTGTATATTACCTTGCTCCTCTCTCATCGCCATTCCTCTTCGCTGACATTTGTGATTGAAGCCCCCTGCAGAGAGATGAACAATAATTTTCTCTCCTGTTACTCCTTCCCTGTCATTTTTCCATAAACAGAAAAACTGTTCATGGATAAATACAAAAACATAAACTCATTTATCATTCAAAGTTTTACAATTCTGCCGTGCTTATAAATTTTTAGTGAAGTCAGTTATATAATTACAAATGACAATATGATAAATATATTTCCATAAATCTTCGTATATATTATTGAATTATTTTTTTTGTAATTGTTGTCAGTATTATTATAATAGACAGATATTTTATTCAACGTGTATTTGTTTGTTTATTATTATTATTATTTCTACTATGATAACGTTCATCATTATCGATATTTAACTTTTCTGTCATGACTAATTGAAGGTATTCTTTAGCATACAATAACCATATGTTTTATCTTGTCTCTTGGGTGTGTCTGTCTTTCTTCACTTCTCTCTCTTTCTCTCTCTCTCTCTCTTCCCGTTACTCTCCTTCTTTAATTTATTCATTTCCACTTCACAAATCACTCATCTTCCTAGAGCATCATCCAAAGCATAAATCGCATCAACATTATTATACTATCAGAGAAGTATCAATCGCAGTAAAACTTAACAATATGGATCAAAATCAAACTATATTACAATATTTAACATCTTTACCAAAATTTCGTTCCGGAGTATCAAAAAAAAGTTATTTTATCAGTCATACCATACCGTATGAAACAGTTATAAAGTTAATTGATCTTGCACGCCAAACGAAACAATTTATTATACAGACAAAACGTTATGATAAAAAAAAATATCCGGCATTAATTCAAATACTATTTTCGCAAGAACAAACACTGCATATTATTCTAATCGAAACGATGCATTTGCCAAGCGAAGATTTGATAAAATTTAAAAAAATACAACACTTACTTTATATTATTTTATTACGTTCCAATACTATATATTCATGGAAAAATATAAAACATGAGTTACACTTATTTTTGAAATTTAAATTATTTCTAAGTCATCAACTCGAAGATATGCGTGTGATTCATGTTAAAGATCAGCTTGCCAACTGGCTCCACGAAACTTTTGACAAGATTCCCTACTATGGTTGGAATCTGAAAACGGCAATTGCTTATATGTTTATGGAAGATTTAGACGTGAGTCCCATAGATACTGACTGGAACATAGGCTTTTACCGCGAAGTACGTCCCGATCATTACGGAGGTTTACTCCCCAATGGTCCCGCTATTATTATTGTACCAAAGCCCGATCCATACCGAATAAAGCATATCAAATATGCTATTCATGAGTGCGTAGCAGTTAACAAAATAGTTTCGTTTTTTGAAAATCCCTGGACTCGACACATTGTTGAATTATTTTTAAAAATGAATTCTTATGTTTTGCCGCCGTATAAGACTGTTTCACCTTCAATAAGTAATGTTGATTAACTTAAATGCATTTTTTGTTTTTCATTTTTGATGTTATACTGTATAATTACTCTCATTTAATCAAGCAATCTCTTGAGATACTAACACTATTGTAATCAATGCATTCTTGTTTTTTTCGTGTTTCTTTTCACTTAGCTATCATAAAATTTCTTTCTTAATCATTTTCGTAGATCATGTTAGGTAAATGACGAATGACAAAGATGGATAAAAAGAAGGATATTGTTTTCACTAAGGAAAAAATCAAGATGTACATCATCTAATAATATTATATATATTCGTGATTATCTCGGCCGCTACAGTCAGTAGACAATGTAACATGCTTTCTAATTATCATATAACTACTTCAACTTGTATGAATAAAAACAGACTTTGTTGATTTCGGATAAAAATTAAGTTTCATTTTTATTTTCGAGAAACAATATTTTTATCTGGCATGATAATTCACAAGACGAAGAAAGGTGGATTATTATTTCCATATTGATGTTTATCCAGGTGTAAGAAAAATATTTGATCGAGTACGAAAGAGCTTTTCACAGTAAGATTTATCATCACTAGTAACTATAAAATGAGCATTTGGATAGCGCGCAGTATAATGTTTGATAGCATCAAATAAATAAGCGTCATTTGAAGAATAATGTATAGATATAAAATCTGAACGACGTACATGAATTCCAATTCATGTAATTGAATTTAATTGAGATAGTTGCTTTTTCAATGATTGATGATTTTCTAATAAAAATTGAGGTTTATAACCTAGTTGTCGTTGATAAAGTTTAATAAAAAAAATCGAAACTTTCTTAAGTATTGATTGTAATGCAACAAAAATATGTTGTCGAATTTCTTCATCATATCTCGCAAAATATAGATATGATTAGCAATAACCTTAGAGTTCAAATATCGTTCGTGATGGAATTACATTCAGACGAGCTAATGTTGTATTATGATCACAAACAATGCTCTTACTAATTCTATTCATTGGTTTTGAATATTTTTATGAAAGAGTTCATCAACACTTCTTCCATATGAACTTTTGTCACTAAAAAAACTATATTTGGCGTATAATTTTTTCGACATGGTAGCTCAATAATTCGACTGACTCCTGTTTATGGTAAAGCGATCGTAAGCAGTCGTTTACAACACTAGAATATGAAATCGAGTAAATCTATTGTATTAAACAAGATTTTATTCAGCTATTTCTTTTTTTTCTTTCATTTTCATACATAATATGAAAACGAGTACATGTATTTGCTTATTCAGGATTTTGATTCAGCTATTTCTTTTTGTTTCTTTAAACTATCATAGATAGTATGAAAATGAACGAATCGATCCGATTATTCAGCTATTTCGTCTTTTTTTCTTCATTTTCATATATAATATGAAAACGAGTAAATGTATTTGCTTATTCGAGATTTTCATTCAGCTATTTCTTTTTTTTTGTTTAAGAAAAACAAAACTATACATTGAAAGAGTTTACATCGATGTTTGATTTATAATATATGTAAATTAATATAAACATCTATTTCCTTTACATTTAATTTTATGAAATTCTTAAATATGACATGTAAAATTCAAAAATTATTACAAGATAAGTATCAAACACATACATGCATATGTATTTATCATATCGAGAATAAAAATATATCATATTATCAAATAACATAATATATATGTATACATCATAAGAGAATCACTATTATTATTTTTCATTCTTTTTTATTTCTTTATCAATTTTACCTTATTATACTTTTATTATTATATTCTTATTCATTATTTTCATTCAATTATTTTTTTCTTTCTTTCACTTTCATATATAATATGAAAACGAGCAAATCTATTTTCTTATTCGAGATTTTTATTCAGTTATTTCTTTTTTTTTCTTTGAACTTTCATATACAATATGAAACTGAGTGAGTCCATTTGCTTAATGGTTTCATGCATTCACGTATTTCTTTTTCTTTTCTCTCATTTTCATATATAATATGAAAACGAGTCAATCTATTTATTTATTCAAAATTTTGATTCAGCTATTTCATTTTTTTACTTCCATATGCAATATGAGAACAAGTCATTCCATTTGCTTATTCGAGGTATTCATTCGCCTATACCTTTTTTTTTAAACTTTTACATATAATATAAAAAATGAATTAATCGATTTTATTATTCAGCTATTTCTTTTTTTTTCCTTCATTTTTGTATAGAATATGAAGATCAATAAATTTATTTATTTGTTTCAAGTATTGAATAAATAAGTAAACTCTTTCTGATTAATATTATAATACTACATATAAAATTAAATACCTAGTGGTGTATATATCTATATCTATTATATATGATTATTTTTTTATTTATATAAATTGTTAAACTATATATTTATTGATTAAATGCCATATGTATACAAGTAACGCGCGTCGGAGCGACTCGCTGGACCCTCGACTGATTGCGACTAGTATACTTCCAAAAACAAATCATGGAGATGCACTCTTTTACTCCTTATACCATAGTTTGTTAAAATGTTTCTCAATTTTCAGCATTATCCCGAGTGACTCGATGAATCCAACAAAAACTTTTTCTAGATAATAGCCGAGCACATCCATGAACAGTATTATATCCGCAGCGGCTCGTCGGTCGTCGGCGTCCCTTCGGTCCGCCACTCCCGACTCACCGCTGCTGATCGATGATACTAACTGCTTTTCACTCTTTGCGTCACTCATCTATTGTTGTTACACGATTATTTAAGAGTAGGCACTCTCTAGGTATACTTTCCCATACAATGGTCGAGGGAGGCATATCGAGAAACCAATGGTGTCATCGGATCCCCCGCTCCCGAGCGCTTACGATTATGGTTTTGAAAGGTTTTCCGACTGAATGTGTTTTGTTGACACCAATGTTCCTTTGAACTCTCCAGAGAGACAGACAAACGTTTATCTCCTAGACCCTCCCTACAGTCGAGGAAAGAAAACAGTGTCACTACTTCATACAATGCAATGCAGTGGTGTGTGATGCTGGTGGGTGTGGGTGACGGTGTAGGTGTCGGTGTGATTATTTTGCTATTCGACATCCTCATCCACCTTTCCACACCATTAACCAAACTCGGAACCAACTCACCCTAACACGCACATCTATAACAACACTCTCAAACCTCAATTCTACAGTTTCTTTACTCGCAATTTCTGATTGGCCAACTCTATCATCCTCGGTTTCTGATTGGTCAATAAGTAACGTTCGTCCGAGAATTTGCTTAGCCCTTTTTCGTTGAAACGCCTTTTCTTCACATTTACTAGAAAAACAAACGAAAATCGTAAAAAATTGATTTTCGTTGTTCTTTTTTACCTACGACCTCTCTTCATTCACTCAACCCCAGAGAGTGACCCAATCGTCCTCAGCCTCAAAGTCTCCTCATCGGAATACCTCTAGAAATGTCTTCTTCGAAAAATTAGTTTTCGATGTTTTTTTAACCTTTGACCCTTGACCTTTGACCTTTGACCTGCGACAGACAGACAAACGCATTTTCGTTTTTTCCGTATCACCCTCCTTCCAGTCGAGGGAATTTCAATAACAGTTTTTTTGAATGTTTAAAACGTTTCATGATGAAATGTTCTAGAATAAAAAATGAATATTCTTCTAAAATAAAGAAAATAAAAGAAATTTAATAAAAATAAATTACCTTCAGTGACATTTTCTTTTCGAGGATGATTAACATACTTAATTAATTTTGCACAAACCGATATTTATGTTTTAACAATATCACCACCAAATGAATCACACCGAAGATTTATTTCTCGAATTAGCAATTTAAAAAAAATAATAAATATACAGGCATGTTATTGAGAATTTATCAACTTCTTTAAATGGTCTATCTAGATTTCATAGCTTTACATCAACCTGTTTATCAATCAATAAGCTATATAAAAATACTTACTAAATTGGTTATTGATAAAGCTGAATATAATTTAACAATATCCTTGAGAGACTTCATCTCTCGAACAAGTTGTTGACGATGTGAATATGTTGTATTCGTTTTTGATATAACTTGACTACAATCATAATTTGTTGTGTTGATCATAACACGCATTGATTCAGTCTGTTGATATAATTGCATTAATAATTCTTCTGGTTGTTGATATTCTTCTACAATATATTCCTGAAAAAAAGAACTTAGAAAAACATAATAAAAGTTTAATCCTTACTCGTCGAGAAGCAAGTTCAAATTTTACAAATTTCAGTTTTCTTCCAGATGATTGATGACTATACGATTCTCGTTTTTTTCTAATACTTGTGATAAACAAAGAAATACATAATAGATGAAAAGATTATTTATCTTTGAATAAAACTTAATTTAAGTTTTGAAACTCACAGAAGAAAAATGTAATACTTTTTCTCTGTAATGATAAAAAAATCTTCATTATATTCAAGTTATTTTTTAGATAAAGCAAATGATTTATATTTCGACTAAAAATAAAAAATGATTGAAGAATTAAAACCATAGTTAAAACATATTTTTTTAATTACTAAACATGAAGATTAATATATGCCAAGTCATATTTCTTTAGTTTAAAAAATGAATCATCCACATACATGAATAAATGAGGTCAAAGTTGAGCAGAGTGGACAAGCATTCTATTTTTGATGCATGCTTCTCTTTTGATATTGATTTTTATTTCATATGAGAAGTATTTAGAACTAATATATTATATATATACACATTAATTCTAATTTTATTTAAATAGCTAAAAATGAACTAGAAATTAAAAGTTAAAAGCGAAAGGCCTTTATATATAATCTTGATATGAATTAGATCACAAAACAAATAATATATCACGTGTTCCATATGATAATTAATTGTACATATTAATTTTAAAAATTAGTGAAAAAAATCATGTCAAAATTAACAAAATGATTTTCCTGAAATCGGAATTGATTTTCTATTTTGCAGAGAATGATTTTTTTTTGAAAATCAACTTGAATTTTTACAAATTGAAAAATCAAGCATTTTTGAATTT